CATCAGAAAGAGCAGCTGTGCAACTCCCCCTTTGGTGTGATTTTTTTCTTTTAATCCACGCCCCTTGCCAAGCCCTCGCATTTATCTCTTACAAACCCCCTCTAAAAATATTAAAAACCACGGTACAAAAACAATCCTTTTTAAGGCCCCATTTTACGGGGAAAAAATTTCCCTCTTTTCCCACTACTCTAATTAGCCTCACTATCCTCGTAAAAACTCTTCACTGCTTTCAGTAAACCCACCCCTACACCAACATTGCAACATTTCCAATTGCCCCCTATCCACCCCTTCTACGCCTTTTCCAAATCCTAAAGCCAAAAAAGACCTCTTTAGCCTTATCTAATACTTTTCACTTTTTGTTTCATTTAAACACCTGGTCCCAAAACCCCCCCTCCTTTCAAAACCCTCCTTGTTATCTGTATCCTATTCTCCGTCTTACTCAAATTCTTTCAATTATAACTCTCCCATACCCTTACCAGGTAAAATCAACAGCTTACCCCTAAATTTTTGCACTCTCTTTTTTTCCCCTTTGCCTTTATAAAAAGGAACTATGCATGCTCTCTGCCAATCCCTAGGTCCCTTACCCTTTTCAACATTTATTAAATAATTGCCCCAACCCCCCAAAACTATTCCCCACCTCTTTTAAATTTCTATCTTTATCCCATAAACCCCGGCTCCCTTCCCCTTTCTTTTACCTATGCCTCACGAACTCCCCCACTCACAACGGGCTTTTCCCTCACTCCCCAGATGTTTTTCTCCTTGCCCTTACACGAAATCACAGCTCCATCTTATAAACATTTAACAATTCCCAAAATATTCCCTCCATTTCCCCAAAACCTCAAACTTCCATTTAATAACTTCCTCCCCTATTTTTAACTGAAAAATCCATTTGTTCTCTAGGGTTTCTTAACTTGTTAATCTCACTCCAAAACTTTTTCTTATTTTCAACAAAATTTGTTGATAACATCTCACCCACTCTCTCATTTGCTCTCTTTTTACATTGCTTCACCACTCTCTTAACCTCTCTCTTTTTCTCCATATACTCTTCCCTCCTTGCATCACTTCTACTTTGTAAAAACTTCTCATATGCTAACTTTTTCTCCCTTACTACTCTCTTTACATCATCATTCCACCAATCGCTCCTCTTCCCTCCTGCACCCACTTTCCTGTAACCACAAACTTCTGCTGAACACTCTAACACTACATTTTTAAACCTAGCCCATACCTCTTCGACCCCATTGCCTATGCTCTCATTAGCCCATCTATCCTCCAATAGCTGTTTATATCTTACCCTAACTGCCTCCTCTTTTAGTTTATAAACCTTCACCTCTCTCTTCCCTGATGCTTCTATTCTCCTTGTATCCCATCTACCTTTTACTCTCAGTGTAGCTACAACTAGAAAGTGATCTGATATATCTGTGGCCCCTCTATAAACATGTACATCCTGAAGTCTACTCAACAGTCTTTTATCTACCAATACATAATCCAACAAACTACTGTCATTTCGCCCTACATTATATCGTGTATACTTATTTATCCTCTTTTTTCTTAAAATATGTATTACCTATAACTAAACCCCTTTCTATACAAAGTTCAATCAAAGGGCTCCCATTATCATTTACACCTGGCACCCCAAACTTACCTACCACACCCTCTCTAAAAGTTTCTCCTACTTTAGCATTCAGGTCCCCTACCACAATTACTCTCTCATTTGGTTCAAAGGCTCCTATACATTCACTTAACATCTCCCAAAATCTCTCTCTCTCCTCTGCATTCCTCTCTTCTCCAGGTGCATACACGCTTATTATGACCCACTTCTCGCATCCAACCTTTACTTTAATCCACATAATTCTTGAATTTACACATTCATATTCTCTTTTCTCCTTCCATAACTGATCATTTAACATTACTGCTACCCCTTCCTTTGCTCTAACTCTCTCAGATACTCCAGATTTAATCCATTTATTTCCCCCCACTGAAACTCTCCTACCCCCTTCAGCTTTGTTTCGCTTAGGGCCAGGACATCCAACTTCTTTTCATTCATAACATCAGCAATCATCTGTTTCTTGTCATCCGCACTACATCCACGCACATTTAAGCAACCCAGTTTTATAAAGTTTTTCTTCTTCTCTTTTTTAGTAAATGTATACAGGAGAAGGGGTTACTAGCCCATTGCTCCCGGCATTTTAGTCGCCTCATACGACACGCATGGCTTACGGAGGAAAGATTCTTTTCCACTTCCCCATGGACAATAGAAGAAATAAAAAAGAACAAGAGCTATTTAGAAAAAGGAGTGGCTAACGCGACGGGCTGGAGTTTTGAGACTCTATGACCGCGGGTTCAATCCCGGTCGGGGGTATGGTTTAGAAAAAGGAGAAAAACCTAGATGTATGTATATATATATATGCATGTGCGTGTCTGTGAAGTGTGACCAAAGTGTAAGTAGGAGTAGCAAGATATCCCTGTTATCTTAGCGTGTTTATGAGACAGAAAAAGAAAACCAGCAATCCTACCATCATGTAAAACAGTTACAGGTTTCTGTTTCACAGTCATCTGGCAGGACGGTAGTACTTCCCTGGGTGGTTGCTGTCTATGTATTACTTATTACCAAATCTCTTTCTACACATAGCTCAATTAAAGGCTCCCCATTTACATTTACCCCTGGCACCCCAAATTTACCTACTTCTCCCTCCATAACATTTTTACCCACTTTAGCATTGAAATCCACAACCACCATTACTCTCACACTTGATTCAAAACTCTCCACGCATTCACTCAACATTTCCCAAAATCTCTCTCTCTCTCCTCGACACTTCTCTCTTCTCCTGGTGCATACACGCTTATTATAACCCACTTTTCACATCCAATCTTTATTTTACTCCACATAATCCTTGAATTAATACATTTATAGTCCCTCTTTTCCTGCCATAGCTTATCCTTCAACATTATTGCTACTCCTTTAGCTCTAACTCTATTTGAAACCCCTGACCTAATCCCATTTATTCCTCTCCATTGAAACTCTCCCACCCCCTTCAGCTTTGTTTCACTTAAAGCCAGGACATCCAACTTCTCATTCATAACATCCACAATCATCTCTTTCTTATCATTTGCACAACATCCACGCACATTCAGACTTCCCACTTTGACAATTTTCTTATTCTTTTTAGTAATCTTTACAGGAAAAGGGGTTACTAGCCCATTGTTCCCGGCATTTTAGTTGACTTTTACAACACGCATGGCTTACGGAGGAAAGATTCTTATTCCAATTCCCCATGGATATAAAAGGAAAAGTAATAAGACAAAGAACTTTTAAGATAAAATCAAAGAAAACTCAGATGAGTGTGTATAAATAAATAGTACATGTATGTGTAGTGTGACCTAAGTGTAAGTAGAAGTAGCAAGACATACCTGTAATCTTACATATTTATGAAACAGACAAAAGACATCAGCAATCCTACCATCATGTAAAACAAACACAGGCTTTCGTTTTACACTCACTTGGCAGGACGGTAGTACCTCCCTGGGTGGTTGCTGTCTACCAACCTTCTACCTACTATTATAGCTCTACATAATCAATACTGACCTCAGTCACAGTGCTCGACATGAACGATACTGACCTCAGTCACAGTGCTCTCCAAGAGCAATGCTGACCTCAGTCACAGTGCTCTACATGAACAGTAAAAGGGTTAAATGGCTTCACGATGTGGGTAGCAATTTTTGTATTATAGCATTTATTGCATTATTATAGGTAACCATAATTGTCTCCATGGGGATGTGGAATGGAATTCTTCCTCTGTAAGCTGTGTGTGTCGTAAGAGGCAACTAACGTGCTGGGAGCAAGATGCTAGTAACCGTTCTTCTGTGTACATTACTAAATTTAAAAAGAAACTTTTGTTTTCCTTTTTGGGTCACCCTGTCATGGCTGGTTTGATAAAAAAAAAAAAAATGAACATAATTGTACCCATCTAATGTTTTATTTTATAGGTAGCCATAACTGTACCCATCCTTCTTTTCTGTATGAAAATATATTGTATATTCAGCTGTGTTTTAAAGAAGGAAGGGGAGGCGCTATCATAGTGTTGTTATCCAACTAGTGAAAACAGTGGCATTGGCAACACATTTCCACATTTGGTTTTGCAAAGAATAAGAGAATGACACATTCCATAAGATGTCTGTATCTGTTCTGGGATCATTGCCCCGACTGCCTGGTATCAGACCAGTATTCCTAATGTGGAAAGAAAATTGAACCTGAACTGTTAAGAAAAATGCTGGATAGTGAACCTAAGTGTATAGTGAATGGCTCAAGAAATTGTAATAACACGATTGCAAACAAACTAGGGAACTGGTGGGCGTATGCACTTGTCTGGAGTTTTACGACTGTCTCGCCGTTCAAACTACACCCGTTCCTTGGTTTGTATAGTGAATGTTTGTAAGCTTGACTTGTCTGCTTAAATGTTCATGAGACAGAGCCCAATGGGCTGCCAACTGCAACAGCCATTTTTGACCAGGTTAGTGCCAGATAAGCCTGGTCCTGGTCCAGGTTGTGAAAGTGGGGAAACTAGAAACCCTTCAAACATATTTTAAAAGTTAATAAAATGAAGGCCAACACACCTACCAGTCTAAATATTTTGTTCACCTAAAATAGAGATCAATTTTTGTTCAATTTTTTATCCCCATAGGGTTAGCCATCCAGGATAACCCAAGAAAATCAGTGCATCATTGAGGACTGTCTGTCTTATTTCCATTGGGGACCTTCAGTCTTGTTCCCCAGGATGTTACCCCACACCAGTCCACTAATATCCAGGTATACCTACTTGCTTGCTAGGTGAACAGTGACAACAGGTGTAAGAAAACATGCCCAATGTTTCCACCTGGCTGCAAATCAAACCACAGACACGTGTGTGAGGCAAGAGTGTTGCCTGCCAGGCATGCTGTAGTTGGCTGGTTCTATTATTTTTTATGTTGTCGTTGCAACTAATAACTCGTTTGTTACATTTTAGGTGTCAGGCTCAGGTGGTGTGTGTTCCAGACTCTGATGATGAGGAGGGTCAAGAATCTGCTGGAAAAAGATCAAATGTTATTGAATCTGATGATGATTTCTTGTCAGCCGAGTCTTCTGTTTACGAACCAAATGAATTGGATAGAGCTACATCATCTGCCGAGTCTCCTGAAGACTCTGTGAGCTCTCCTCATAGAAGATTAAGCCAGGCAATGGCAATATCCAAAGGGGGAGAGAGCTCTCAGAAGGAACATGAGAGTAGTAAAGTTGGATTGATGTCTAGCACACCAACGTTTGACAGCAGGACTCCTTTAAACTCTTGGCGGAAATCAAGTGCATTAATTCAGTCTGATGATGAAGACAACGTAGAAAGTCCGATACCTGTGATAAAGGAGGTAAAAAGTGCAAGTGCTACTGAATCAGACTGTGAATTAATATCGGATTCAGAAGCTGAAGACAAACAGTTTGATAAATTGGGACATCAAAAGGAAAAGTTGAAAAATAGAAGCTCATTGTGGAGTGAGAAAGCATGGGAAAATGCCACAGATATAGTAGAGGAAATTGACAGTCCTCTGATAAAATCCTCAAGGAAAAAGGTGCTAGTTATCGACAGTGAGAGTGAAAATGATGCTGTGGATAACAGCCTCGAGTCTCAGACACGAGGAGTTCCTAAAATTGTTGTAGAGAAGTGTACTAATAGCAGGGATGCTTTGCCCAAGTGTACACGGAGAAAGAAAACTTATGTCATTGACAGTGAGGATGAAGATTGCGTTGACAGTGGAAGTGAAAGTATAGTACATTCCTCACAACAGGAATTCTCTGAAGAACTTTTACCAGACCTAAACAATTTAGGTGTTTCTCCAACTCCTGCCATTCCAGAGGAAAAGGGAAATGTCACTGAGGAAAGTGTCCATTCTTCATTCCCAGAGAAAGCTGCATCGCTCTCGCCTCACGAGAAATACGGACATAAATTCAAGATAAAAAAACGAACCCCAAGTGCATCATCATCATCATCAAGCCATACTCAAAACTCTCCAAATAATGCACTCAGTGACTCTTGTGTGTGGGCAGATCAGTCTACCGTTATCTTTGAAGACTCGGCTTCAGCAATTAATAACACAAGTGCAAGGAGCTGCTCATCTATCAAGTCACTTTCTAAAATGACTGCATCTGAAATTAATCGCAAATTACAACAAAGTAAGGTATGTTTTCTTCTTATAAATGCTTCACATTGTGTTAAGAATTCCTGTTTAGACCTTAGGCACTGTTAATACTTTTATTGTACTCTACATGCTTCATTTCCTCAATTTAAAGTTGCTATATTTTCTTTTACTAACAGCAATACTCTCATTCACTAGTAATGTTATATACAGCCTCTCCTCGCTTAACGACTGAGTTCCGTTCCTAATATCACGCCGTTAAATAAACTTGTCGCTAAGTGAGAAGCATACTATAAAGGTAGTGTGTTTGTCAGCCATCTTTGATATTGATTTAATGCCACTTTTGCACCATTCTGGTATACTTTTAAATGTTCATAGTTGTAGCTACAGTTAGAGTAAGAGGTAGATGGGAAAAGAGGAAGGTGGCAACAACAGGTAAGAGGGAGGTGAAAGTGTATAAACTAAGGGAGGAGGAAGTTCGGGTGAGATATAAGCGACTATTGGCAGAAAGGTTGGCTAGTGCAAAGATGAGTAGTAGGGGGGTTGAAGAGGGTTGGAATAGTTTTAAAAATGCAGTATTAGAATGTGGGGCAGAAGTTTGTGGTTATAGGAGGGTGGGGGCAGGAGGAAAGAGAAGTGATTGGTGGAATGATGAAGTAAAGGGTGTGATAAAAGAGAAAAAGGTAGCTTACGAGAGGTTTTTACAAAGCAGAAGTGTTATAAGAAGAGCAGAGTATATGGAGAGTAAAAGAAAGGTGAAGAGAATGGTGAGAGAGTGCAAAAGGAGAGCAGATGATAGTGGGAGAGGCACTGTCAAGAAATTTTAATGAAAATAAGAAAAAATTTTGGAGCGAGTTAAACAAGTTAAGAAAGCCTAGGGAAAGTATGGATTTGTCAGTTAAAAATAGAGTAGGGGAGTTAGTAGATGGGGAGAGGGAGGTATTAGGTAGATGGCGAGAATATTTTGAGGAACTTTTAAATGTTAAGGAAGAAAGAGAGGCAGTAATTTCATGCACTGGTCAGGGAGGTATACCATCTTTTAAGAGTGAAGAAGAGCAGAATGTAAGTGTGGGGGAGGTACGCGAGGCATTACGTAGAATGAAAGGGGGTAATGCAGCTGGAACTGATGGGATCATGACAAAAATTAATTTAGTGAAGGGATTCAGGGAAACCGGTTATTTTCATATAGTCGGACTTGAGTCCTGGAAATGGGAAGTACAATGCCTGCACTTTAAAGGAGGGGTTTGGGATATTGGCAGTTTGGAGGGATATGATGTGTATCTTTATATGTATATGCTTCTGAACTGTTGTATTCTGAGCACCTCTGCAAAAACAGTGATAATGTGTTAGTGTGGTGAAAGTGTTGAATGATGATGAAAGTATTTTCTTTTTGGGGATTTTCTTTCTTTTTTGGGTCACCCTGCCTCGGTGGGTCACCCTGCCTCGGTGGGAGACGGTCGACTTGTTGAAGAAAAAAAAAAAATAAACGAATAGAGGAAGTCAGCTCTAATATACTGTACATACATTATTTAGGTATAAATACTGGTCAGAGAGCCCGTCGTAAGTCCGAGGCGTCGGTAAATGAGTACGTCACTAAGTGAGGAGAGGCTGTATTTTATAATTTTATGAAGTATAGTTTATTTTGTATAATTGTAATCTGTTCAGTGGCTGTTTTAAATTTTAAGGTTGAAATAAGGAGATATTACAAGGACCCCAATGGAAATAAGTCAGTTTGATTTTTTTGAGTTTTCCTGGTGGGTAATTTACACTATGTATGATAATTGTACATTTGTGTACCTGTGCTTAAATGAAGTTACTTACTTGTTTGGGAAGGTGTGTAAAGGTAGAAAGTTGAAAGTGAACGTAGATAAGAGTAAGGTGATGAGGGTGTCAAACTATTTAGATAAAGAAAAATTGGATATCACATTGGAGGGAGTATGGAAGAAGTGAATGTTTTCAGGTATTTGGGAGTTGACTTGTCAGCAGATGGGTTTGTGAAGGATGAGGGGTAACCATAGAATTGATGAAGGAAGAAAGGTGATTGGTGCATTGAGGTATTAGTGGAGACAAAGAACTTCATCCATTGAGGTAAAGAAGGGAATGTACAAGAGTATAGTAATACCAACACTCTTATATGGGTGTGGAGCTTGGGTTGTAAATGCTGCAGCAAGGAGGTGGCTGGAGGCAGTGGAGGTGTTGTGTCTAAGGGCAATGTGTGGTGTAAATATTGTGCAGAAAATTCGTAGCGTGGAAATTGGGAGGAGGTGTGGAGTTAATAAAAGTGTTAGTCAGAGGGCTGAAGACGGGTTGTTGAGGTGGTTTGGCCATTTGGAGAGAATGAATCAAAGTAGAATGACTTGGAGAGTGTATAAATCTGTAGGGGAAGGAAGCCTGGGTAGGGGTTCTCCCCGAAAAAGTTGAAGGGAGGAGGTAAAGGTTTGCAGGCATGGGGGCTTGGTCTTCCAGCAAGCATGCATGGGCATCTTAGATAGGAGTGAATGGAGACGAATGATTTTTGGGACCTGACGAGCTGTTGGAGTGTGAGCAGGGTAATATTTTGTGAAGGGATTCAGGGAAACCTGTTAGCCAGACTTGAGTCCTGGAAATGGGAAGTACAATGCCTGCACTTTAAAGGAATGGTTTGGGATATTGGTAGTTTGGAGAGATTATGCTTTATGTATTACATGTATCTTTATATATGCTTCTAAACTGTCGTATCTGAGCGCCTCTGCAAAGACATTGATTATGTGTGAGTGATGGTGAAAGTGTTGAATGATGATGAAAGCTTTTTCTTCCTTTTTTGGGTCACCCTGCTTCAGTGGAAAATGGCTGATGTGTTAAAAAAAAAAAAAAACTGTTTGGAGCAAGGTGATAGTAACCTCTTCTACTGTATACATTACTAAATTTAAAAAGAGAAACTTGTATTTTTCTTATTAGGTCACCCTGCCTTGGTAGGATATTGCTAGTTCATTGAAAAAAACTTGTTTATTAAATGTAGTTATCAAAGTATTATGTGCACGTTCTTGTCCTCTTCCCTGCAGCTTGTGTTGCGCATGGCCAACTTATCAGCGCTGCCGGATAAAGGTGCCAAGATCATAGCACAGATAAACGACTATGAAGAAGCTTTGGCCAACTTAAGTGTGCTTAACATACAGGTACTTATTGTCAGATGTTGCTTTTTATAGAATAATAATAATAATATTTATAATAATAATAATATCTTTATTTACTACAAGTACATGTACATGGTATACAGGCCTAGCTGACAACAATGACATACTACTGCATAGAAATCCCCTTGTTATGCTCAGCATTTCGGGCAAATTAGGTCAGTGTCCCAGGATGCGACCCACACCAGTCGACTAACACCTTGGTACCCATTTTACTGATGGGGAACATAGACAACAGGTGGAAAGAAACACGCCCAATGTTTCTACTCTGGCTGGGAATCGAACCCAGTCCCTCGCCGTGTGAAGCGAGAGTGTTAGCCACCAGGCCACCAGAGCTGATAAGTTGACATTATACACTTTTAAATTAGATATTAGTACAGGTGCTCCTTGACTTATGTTGGCTTCATTTACAATATTTCAACTTCACGATAATGCAAAATTAATTAATTTGGAGAGGAAATTTAAGATAATTACCCAGCATAAAGGCGGCAAGTCTGTAACTTGTATTCATTTGTGTATTTACTTTTCAATACTGGTATTTAGTTTCTGTAATTATTTGTTTACTTTTCATAAGCCTAGGAGCACCTGTATGTGTTGACAGGAATAGATATGTTTGTCTCTTACGTGATTTTGTGGGGGGGAGGGGGGGCTGACTAGTTTGCTATTGGAGGATCTCCTTCAAAAGGCCTTGACATTTCATGTGGCTGTTTGGCCTTCGAATCAGTGCTCATTGTTTACAAATATGACAGTGCTACCACATGGTGTCAGTATGTTTTGTCATGGAAGGTTTTCTCAGTTCTGGATAAATGCAGCATTCCAGTTTAACCCTTTCAATGGCTATCATGTAGAACTATGTCATTGAGGCCATTGTCCCTTATGTTCTATGTCATGATCTCAGCTCACTCAGATGAGCTGTGAATGGTAAATTTTGGCTTAAATATGAAAGAATGAGACTGTGCAGTGAGTGCACAATATAAAAAATGTCTTGCCCCATGCAATGCAAAGGAAAAGAAAAACTGACCCTCTCTTTGGTTTCAAATACCGACATTTGAGATACTTTCTAGGGTGGTTTTTATGATTTTATTGGCTGCTTCTTGGTATCATTGATAGAACGCCAGACATACTACTGAAAGATGAATTTGGTTGGCTTTGGGACGGCAAACATCTTGAAATTGGGCTCAAAGTAATGGAAATGTTCAATTTTTATTTTGAGGACAGATAATGCTCCCTCCTCCCCTGGTTTTTCATGGGTTTTAAATAGGTCTGATTCATTTACTGGGATGCTGCTAACCATGACCAATTGTTTCTTGTTATATTTTATCATCTAGGCAATAGAGAAATTCTTCTATTTTTTTGATTATGAATTCAAACTGGAAGGCAAGTGTAATATAGGAGAGGTCTGGGGGTGTCATTAATAAACAGGAAATTTTGTTTTTAGTCCCAGAAATATCTACATTGCTTATTGTGTGACTTTGTAAATGGTCCAAGTCGAACTGAAACTTCGTCGTAAGCTTCTCTCTTTTATGTGCGGGTTATTTGTGTATCGTTCCAGTAACGGTATTCTGCCTTTTTTTGTTATTTGTTAATTTTTTAAATTGCATTTTCTCTTTTGTGTGAAATTGGTCAAATTACCGAATTCTGGTCACTTTATAGAGTGGTTTCTTGTACTCGGTTGATAGAATGGAAAGCATATTAGTAAAACAGCAAAGAATTTGGTCAAATGTAGCAATAGAATTTATTTAAAATAAGACTCAAAATGGGCAAAATCTCAAGTGCATGAATTGCATCCTGACCACTTTGTGCCTGCATAATTCCATAAAGATTCCATCAAATTTCATATTTTAGGTGTCTTCACCTTCAGAAAATCAGAAAAAGGTTCTTCACCATTTTCAAGTGGACACTGGTAGCAGTATTAATTTTCAAGTGGACACTGGGAGCAGTATTAATTTTCAAGTGGACACTGGGAGCAGTATTAATTTTCAAGTGGACACTGGGAGCAGTATTAATTTCATTTGACACTGGAGCAGTATTAAATTTCAAGTGAACACTGGGAGCGTATATTAATTTTCGAGTGAACACTGGAGCAGTATTAATTTTCAAGTGAACACTGGAGCAGTAGTAAATTTCAAGTGAACACTGGACAGAAATTAATTTTCAAGATGAACCACTGGACAGAATTAATTTCAGAGGTTGAATGTGAAATGCTGGGTGAAGATGCACACAGATGTAGGACAAGAAACAGTAAGAGGTAGCTGAATAGTAGCGCATTGGGGTCAGGAGGCAGTAGGTCTTACTCAAGGTGGCCGGCTGTAAGGCTAGACAACTGTCAAAGCAGTATTACCAAGGCTATTCGCTCTCAGAAAAATTAATGAGTTGAAAAGAAATAATAATTTCATATAAAGCGTAAACACTATTTATTTATTAAAGTTAAACATAAAACAATGAAACAGGAAAGGTATATCCTATTTGAAAGAAAAATGAATGAAAAATAACATTTGAGAAAACTCAACGCTATATTGTGTGTGAGAGTGTGTGTGTGTGTTGTTGTAGTGTGTGATATATATGTAAATAAATTATATGAGTATATGTAGTCTATAATGTATATATATGAAATATATGTATATAGTATGTAGTATGTATATAGAAGTATTATATGTGGTACTAGTTTATGAATACTATAGTTATATATATAATTATGTATATAAGTATATATATTATGATAGTATAAATTGTTAGTAATATATGTATAGTATATATGTATATATATATGTATATAGTAAATGTCTATATATTATAGTATAATATATATATTGTAATATATATATATATATGATTATATGATATATATATAATGCGTATATATATATAAATAAATAAAATGTATAATATGAATATTGTATTATATATTATGTATATAACTCGAGGTACTATTTGTACGTATATATTAGTATATATATTATATAATAATAAGTATTATATAGACCCCCCTACCTGACAAAAGAACTGTAAAAATTATATAGAGGAATAGGAAAGCGTTACTGAGTATGACAGGAAAGTCGTGTACGTAGTGGTATAATTGAAAGACATAGAGGTAAGACAAATGTAGATTGCAGGATGTAGCATATTTTAGAGTGTAGGGATGTGTAGAATCAGGTGTTTACGGGTTGTGGATATATGAGGTGTGGGAGGGAACAGTATTTAGTTGATAAAGAAAATGGAATGATTGACAATTCCATACAGTGAAAACGCACCGGGCCAATGCAAAGACGAAGTCACGCTGTTGCGTCCCATATTCCGGCATAAATCCTCTACACATTCCAGGCTTACTTACCTTCACAGACCGCAGCATACCCTCTAAAAAAGATAAACAGCATCTTTCGAACTAGTCTGGTTGTTTTTTCTACCATAACTTATATACCCTCCTCTGTATCTTCGTTCGCCACTACACCTGGACCCATCGCACTCTTCTACGGCGAACATCTCTCCTTTCTAATATGACCATTAACCCCCGTAATCGCTCAATTCCGAAACGAGCATCCCCGAACTACGTCATTTTTAATACCCTTCCTACCCATCAATCAAACGTTCTTTTGCTTTGGTTTCTGTGGGGTATAATGTGTCTCTTTTGATTTTCAAACCCAAAACAATATATTGTGCCAACCTCCAAGCATCAAACCCCCATTGGTCCAAGTCCGCTGGTTTCGGTATTTATAGGTTCACATTTTGCTGAAGAAACAGTGCTTATGGGAAGATACCTAAAGGACAAATTGCAAAGGTTAGTGGAAATAGAGTTATGGGAAAGTTTGTAAAGGTAGAAGTTTGAAAGTGAACCGAGAAACAGAGAAAGGTGATGAGGGGTGTCAAAATGGATATAGATAAAGAAAAATTGGATATCAAAATAGGGAGAGAGAGTATGGAAGAAGTGAATGTTTTCAGATACTTGGGAGTTGAACGGTCGGCGGATGGAATTTATGAAGGATGAGGTTAATCATATAAATGATGAGGTGAAAAAGGTTAGATGGCGTTGAAGTATATGTGGAGCAAAAGAAGGGAATGGTATTGAAAGTATAGTAGTACCAACACTCGTTATAAGGGTGTGAAGCTTGGGGTGGTAAATGCAGCACGATGAGACGGTTTGGAGGCAGCGGATGTCGCTGTTTAACCCTTACGTCCAAGGCCCAACTGGAGTCACGCAACCAGTGTCCCCCCCCCCCCCCCCCAAGATTTTCAAAAAAAAAATTTGTTATTTTTCTTATGAAATCGTAGAGAATCTATTTGTGAAGGTAATGAAAACAAAAAGTACGAAATTTGTGGAAATTTGAACGAAATTATCTCTCTTCGCGAATTTGATGTGTCAGCGATTTTACGAACGGCGATTTGCCGACTTTTGACTCCCATTTTTAAGGCAATAAACATTAATCAATCAACCAATTCTAGCTATTTCACTAGTATTACTTTCATTCTATCGATTGAGCACAAGAATCGCCAGTCAACTTTTCAACTACAAAATAAAGTGATCAGGAAATTGTTAATTTGGCCAATTTAACACAAAGTATCAAAATATTCCAATTTCAAAAATAGGGTCAGAATGAACAATGAAGCAATCCTGGCACATAAACTAACATTTCCTCTGTTCATTAGTTATGTATGAGGCTTTTCAAAATAAATTCCAATTTTGATTTTTATTCACAAAATGAATTTTTATTCACCACCAAAAATATAGAAATTTACTGTTTGCAAAACTGTAATAATTGGTTAAAATATCATCACCATATTTGTGATTGTAATTAGACACACCAGCTGACGGTATTAGACGTGTGAGGTCGTTTGTTTTACTCATGAATATCGGCAAAATTTAACATTCCGCTACTTTGAGTTCAGTTCAGCCATTTCCATGCAAAAAACAATCAAAATCATCTCTATTTTCTGTATAAGTCTTCCTTCTATCAAATGAAACCAAGAAATCGCAAATACAACCATAAAAA